ACTGTGAGCCCAGAGTGGCCCTCTTTCCCTTAAGTTGCTTTGGTCAGGTAGTTTGTCATAGCCATGAGAAAAGTAACGATGACAGTGGTCACCCTCATTCTAGGGAGGACACGCATCAACTCTCCTTTGTGGGAAGCACTTGAAGACTATGTTCAAACTGCACGGGGGAAAGAAACCTCTTTCGTATTTAATCCATAAAATTTGGTGTTATATATGTCATATCATACAATTGAAATCAAGACAAACTTTCAGGAATATAATAATGTATATACTTATTCAATAGGCACAAACAAACCTCCTATCCTGATAATTTAATTTTATTAGTTTTTGTGGTCTTCAGAATCAAGCCCAGAGCCTTATGGATGCTAGGAAATGTACCTCCAGTCCTTAACACTTTATTTAGTTGGATTTCAATAACCATCTTGTGCTGCCTCTCACATCTGAAGCCCTCCGCTAAGAGCTCCAGTCTATGACCAAGGGGTAGACAGGATGTGTTGGGAATGTTCCCCACACTGAAGGCTCTTACCTTAGGTCAGCAAGAGGCAGAGAAAAGAATGAACATGCAGGATATGGACAGGTATTTACAGAGGTCCAGTGATGCTGTCGGAACTGAGATAAGTGAGCACACATTGGCCTCATGGTTCAGGGCAGAGCTAGACTAGATGGAGGTCTCATGGAAAGGTGCCCCCTTGATTTGACCTTGATGGGAGAGTGGACTTTGCAAAGGCCAACTAAGTGCAGGCAGAGGGGAAGCAGGGATGATGTCAGCAAGACAGGCAGCTCCCTCAGGGAAGAGGACGTGGCGCTGAAAAGAAAGAATGCTGGTCCAGAGCCAGGGAAGTCTTCAGTGAGTAAAACGCTTATCATACAAGTATGAAGACCTGAGTCCAGATGCCCAGCACTGAGGAAAAGCTGGCTGTGGCAGTTCGCATCTGTACCCCAGCCCTGAGGAGGTGGGGACAGGCGGATCCTGAGGCCTCACTGACCAGCTGGTCTAGCTGAACTGGAGACCTCTAGGCTCAGAGAGAGACCTTGCTTCAGAAAATATGATAGATGGCAACGGAAGACCCAATGCCCACCTCTGACTTCCATATGTCTGCCCACACCCATGTACATACATCACAGTACACGTGTACACATGCACACACACACACGTCTTCTAGCTCTAAATTGTACAAGAGGAGCAACTATGAATCTATGAATTGATCAGAGTTGGGCACAAGGGTGAACTTTGCCCGCCATTATGGACAGACTGTGATATATACACTTGCACAGCTGCTTCTCTCTGAATTGATGACACTCACAGGCATTTCCGTGCCCTTGGGTCTCTATGTTTCCAGAACACCCTATACTTAGCAGAAAGTTTATCCCTATTTCCTTTCTTAATGTCTACTATGCTGGCCGCTATGGATAAATACAGTTTTTCTTTATTTCCAGCCCTGATTGATTCTTCTGTCAGAGAGCTATAGATTGGATGCGGTGTTCTGCTTCTCGGCTTGAAAGATAAAGTTGACAGCTTGGGTCTGTGATTTCTCTGTTAATGAGTGACCTGTGTTAGAGCGGCAAGAAGATGGGGTGGGGCTTAGGGGCGCAGCTGGTGACTGCACAGCCTTCTTCAGTTCCCAGTTCTGGAGTCTGTGGCTGGGGAGAGGAATGTTTCCCAGGGACGGGGGGTGGGAGGTGGGTACCGATGTAGACACTGCTGTGTTTGGGTGACTTTGCTAGATGGGGGTTACCTGTATCTTTGTAGGAGTCTGTGGAGGCCAGGCAGTGTATGGGAATAGACATTCAGTGGACAGCCTAGGAAGGATGAAGTATGTGGTGGCTGAGTGACACAGGGATTCCTGGGGCAGCTTGTCCCCTTAGGATGTGCTGTATAGTTGCTTCTTCTGGGCTGGGTATGATGACGGCCATCAGGACTCCCTCCTGGAGAAAGGGGAAGGTTCACAGGCCTCACAAGGCCTGAAGGCAGACAACAGAAGCCATTTGTGGCATGTGTTTGTAACCAGAGCGCTGGAGAGACTGTGCCAGGAGAATCAGAATTCTGAGCAAGCCTTGACTACGAGTTCTAGGCCAGCCTGGGCTATGTGAGATCTTGTCTCAAGAAATCGAATAGCAGTCGGGTGGTGGTAGCACATCTCTTTAATCCCAGTACTTGGGAGGAAGAGGCAGAGGAGGCAGAGGCAGGTGGATCTCTGAGTTCGAGGTCAGCCTAGTCTATAGAGATAGTTACAAGACAGCCAGCAGTCAGGGATACACAGAGAAACCTTGTCTTGACTGTCGCCTCCCCCCCCCCCACCAAAAAAAGAAAAAAGAAAATAAGTTAAGATGCACTTGGAGGGTGTTCGCTGAACTTGGAAGAGAGGTCTTCATGCACCCCAACCCCAACCCCTCAGGATGTAAGCTTACCAAGACCAGCAACTTCTTTGCCACCAAAATACGATTCAATATGTCCCAACCAAAATAAAACTCTGCCCATTTTGGTCTAAGTGCCTTTGCCCTGCACCGACAATCCATGCACCTAAGTGTTAGTCTACAATGTGGTAGTGTTAGGATGTGGGGCTTCCGGAGAGATGAGAAGTTCGGTTCAGGCCACGAGGACGGAGTCACAGGGAGGGGTCACAGAAGGAACCAGCACCGGAGCTCCCCGTCTCTGTACACACAGGAGGAAGTCATGGGAACACATATCAAGGTGGTGCCAACCAAAAGCCTGGAGTGAGCACGCAGAAGGAAGCTTATCATGTCAGCAGCTTGACCCTAAACTCAGCCTCTGGAACTGGGAGAGGTCTGAGTCACCCAGTCTGTATGATTTTGTGTGGTAGTTCAAGCTAAAACACTTCCCATCAGGGCCTGTGTCCTGCCTTCATCTCCCATCTCAGACCTTCTGGCCTTTCTCAGCTCCATCCCTCCCTATAATCACTCGTGTCACTCACTCTCTGTCCCTTGCCCCCTCCTAGGTGGTGCTCTCCGAGGAATATAATTTATGTGCTGCTGAATCCCTAAGACCTAGAAGAGCACTGGGGTCACGCTAGTATCCCATGAATAAATGAAGAGCCAGAGAGAACTGAGCACACACAAGACACTGCCTTCCTTTCTCAGACCACCAGATGCACTGAGGCTCAATGGAGCTCCATCAACGCCATGTCAAGGATGTGTAAAACAACGCAGTGTGTATGTGTGTTGTGTGTGTGTGCGTGAGTGCGTGTGTGTGTGTGCGTGCACACATGCATGCTCACTCACACACATATGCATAGTGCGTGTGTGTGTGCTCTAGATATGATAAGTTCCAGACACAGACAGGATTAGATGACAAGAACAGGGGTTACATGAACACTGTGGCTTTTTAGAAAAACATCTTGGCCACATGTTTACATGCCGCTCTTCTTACCTGAGCAGGTCTAGACGGGGGTAAAGGAGAGGAACAGCTGTGGACACAGCCCTAGAGTCCAGTGCCAAACACTCAGGAGAAAAGGAGATGTGCTGAACACTGGGGAGGCTGTGAAGCAGTGAACCCCCATTTTCTGTGGATCACCATGACAATCAAGGCAGCTCTTTGAAAAAGACAGACTCAGGAGTGTGACTAGTCCCAGGGAAAGAACGTGTGCCCTCCCTGCCACATGCCATGCCCTCTCTAGCCCACACGTGAAGGCCAGCTTGTGCTAAGAACATTGTTGCCTAAAACTGAGAAAATGCAGAAACCAGCAAAACCCACACCCCCATGTGCACAAGTGGGAAAAATGAGATGCATGGTGCATGTAAAATGGAACTTTATGTAGCAGGTGAAGGAATAGACCAATCCTACATGAGCCAAAGAGAACACTGCATGGAATGACAGGGGGCTGTAGAGCGAGAGTGGGTGCGATCTCTCTCTCTCTCTCTCTCTCTCTCTCTCTCTCTCCCCCCTCTCCCTCTCCCTCTCTCTCTCTGTGTATATTGAGGCTGTGTTGTTTATTGCCTCTATGTGTTTATTAAACCGTTTGTGGTGTGTATATGTGTGTGTGGTAGGCCGTTGATTGCATATTTATGGTATGCTTTATGCCATTTCTGTGTGTGAAGCCATGTTGAATTGTTCTGTGTCTGTACACTGTGGTGTGTGTGGTGTCTCATTCTCCCCAAACCCTCACAGAACTCCAGAGACGGCAGTTACTGCAGACATACACAGCACAGTCCCACCCTGTCATCGAAGCTGGTATATTTTCTGGGTTCTTCTCTGCCCTCCCTGCCCTGGAGCTCCTCTCCAGTGCCCTGACCTGAGCCATTTTAGAATGTGAGGATACAAACTGACAGCTCACAACTCAATACACAGATCTAGTGGGGGGAAGCAAGGCAAGAATGGGAATTTATCAGACAAGCAGATTTTCCAGTAAAAGTCGGTGGTCGCAACTGGCTGGGTCTTGGAAGGGCAAGGCCGAGAGTAGGCAATTCCAGGGTGATAAAAGGTCAGTATTACTTACTCTTACCTATAGTGAAATCCTGCCCAGGTAGGCCTGAAGTCAACTCCACTTGGTCAATGTTAAATTCTTTCTTTTCTCTCCCAGCAAGAAGGGGGCCTTAAATCTGTTTTGATTAAGCCAGCAGCTGTGATGTTAATAAACAGTGCCCTATCTTTTAGCACTTGGAAGTTTTAAGCATCAGAGCTGTGAATACAGAGGATCGTTCATGCGATGCCTGTGTTCTTTCATTTTCTGGCAGTCTCGGAGACTGGGTCTGTCTTTGTTAGGCATTTCTACCACTGATCCATAGCCCCAGCCTCAGATCACGCTTGGGAGCCTAAACTCAGTTAGTTCCGTGGTTCTCAGGCCCCCAGTCCCATACCCCAACCCGAGGAAAGAATTTAAAGAGGGGAAATGAAGGAGACGCTAAGATCTTGGGTTAGCTGTGCCATTGAGAGTAACTACACAGGCCACCTCCCACTTGCCCAGGGTCTTCGAGTGAGTGCTGAGAGAAACGGGTGGTCTAGGGATGGTTAAACCAGAACGTCCATGGTCATGTCCACTTACCTGAGACCTGAGCAAGTGCTGAGGCTGACCATTGAGGCAGCATCTCCTTGCACGTGTCCGTGGTAGTAACAGTGATCCTGAAAGGCCGAGATGGGAAATCAGTTAACACATCTTCCTTCCACCTAGGATAACTCAGATTCAACTAGCCCCCCCCCCCCCCCCCCCACCGCCATTGCTTTACATGTCATACCACATTACACAGGTAGTCTTAATGTTTACTGCTAAGCCCAATGTGGCTTGCCAGGGTCTACGGTTAGCACATCAGACCTCCTTAGAGAGAATCAGCAGGGTTCTGACAGGCCTGACTGGCCTTTCCTCTCATCTGTTGTCCCCTGCCCACCCTGGGAAAGCCCTGATGCCCATGGTTGGACAAAATGCAGCAGCAGAACAGATCACCTTGACATCCTTGGTTTACCCTCATGTAAATTGTCTCTGGTAATGAGATGAGGAAGTGGATGGGACGCTTAAGCACACTGTGAAATGCAATAAAACCAGGCCTGAATCAATGGCTTAGGAAAACAGCCGAGCAGATGGGGGCTACTAAGGAATGAAAGATGAGAATTCCCAGAATCGCCCACATTCAGCTCAGCAGGAAGGTCACTGAGGGAGGTCTCAGAAGAAAAAAGAAATCTTTGCAGGATATCGCTAACATTCCCCAAAGCAACCACAGCTCAGATGCCTCCTGGGAAGACAGAGCTCTGTCCAGATTCAAGGTAATTGCGCTGTTGAAAAGAAGGCTGTGTCACAGCTCCAAGTAAGCAGCTGATTGGCAAGGAATGGCTGCTCACATGCCACAGTCCTCACCCAGGCATTCACAATGCCAGCAGCATGCTGACTCTTTGCAGGAAAGGGACCTTCTAAGTGACAGTCAGGTCTCAGCCGGCCTCCACCATACCCACATCAGCTCTTGGTGGTGACAAGCCATTCACAAACACTATCTCTGTGTGGCTAAGAAAAAGGACCAGGGTTGGAAAGATGGCTCAGCGGCTGTTCTTGTCGAGGACCCAGATTTGGTTCCGAGCACTTGGTGCCTCACAACCATCTGCAGTTCAGTTCTAGGGGAGCTAATCTGATGCCCAAGAGCTCCTGAACGCATGAGGGGCACATAAACTCATGTGCACATGCAAACACACATACAAGCAATCAAAAAATAGTTAAAAACAAACAAATGAGAAAGACCAGGTAAGGTTAAGTGGCAAAGGGAAAGCCATGACATCATGAGAAATTGGCTAAGGTCATCTCAACCACATAAGAGGATAAAATCCTTGGGTCCTCTGAAAGGCAAAGGATGGAGATGAGAAGGCTACAGGCAGACAGGTTTGAATCTTTCTTACTGATTTTAGAGCCATATATATATACACACACATATATATTCAGGATATTAATATTTTAACCTCATACTTGTGTAAGAAAAGTCTTTTAACCTGAACATTATTGTCCAGAGTTTTTGGCTTTATGAATTCAAGTCTCTTCCATGTACCCTGCCCCCATGGTTCTCTGTATTATTAAAGGCAGCTTTCTTTGAGGTCATGGGTACATGCCTTTATTTTCTTCTGTTTACATAGTCTCGAGACTGGCTCTTTACTCTACCCAGGATTTATTTCCATCCTGGAAGTGCAGGGCGTGTCCGACTTCCCCTCCACCAAAGGCAGGCATTATCCACCACAGCTCATCAGTTTTTCTCCCCGACATTCTGCCATGTGCTGTGTCTGTGACTTTTCTTGTTTCTGTGACCTGATAGAAACAACTTCCAAGGGGCAAGGATTTCTTCTGGTTCACAGTCCATCACGGCAAAGAAGGCACAGTGGAGTTCTTGGCAGTGGGAGGCTGCTTGCTCACATGGGACAGCAAGGAAGCAGAGTGTGGCCCAACTCCAGTGCCCTCCAGCAAGGAGTCCTGTCTAAAGGTACTACAAGCCCCCCCTTCCCCCCCCCACCAACAAGTGCCATCAGTTGGGGGACTGAATATGTAAGCATGTGAGACATCCAAACCAGAGCATATGGGAATACTCAGGGTATGTCCGTGGCTCCTCTCTGTTTTATAGTACACCAAGGAATGCTCAACTGTCCACTCCTAAGCCAGCACCACTCTCTTAATTACAACTGTTTTACATGACAATTGGATACCCCGCCGAGCTGATTTTCTTTTCAAATCAGGACTTGACTCCCATACCACACATCTTGCTATTTTAAAGAACATCCTGTCAGCATCTCATGGTGTTCTGTTTCAAGTACAGGGAGTACCTGAAGTCCTCTGTCACTGAAATCCCTAAGGATGCACAATGACCACCACTATCTCATTCCAGAGCATTTTAACGACTGCTCAGAGACACCTGGAGCCCCGCAGTCCCTCACTCACCACCCCTGGCAACCACTAGCCTCCTCTCTGTCTCTATGGATTTGCTCGCTCTGTTCCTCTCATGCAAAGAGAAGCCTGCAATACATGGCCTCGTGCCTGGCTTCTTTCATCCAGCATAATGTTTTCCAGGTTCCATCCTGAACTCTGCGTTTTCTTGCCGAAGAGTATTTCGGTACACACACTGCAGCGTGGACAGCTGGTGTCCAAAGGCCAGGGCTGGAGAAGGAATTACCTGCAGGTGGGAAACTGCAAAGGCAGTGGGTAATGGAGGGAGCACGCAGTTCAGGGGAGGGGTGGGGAGATGCAGACACAGGCCTGGGGAGTGCCTGGTGATCTGTCTTCTAGGAGGCTGTCCTCATCAACAAGGAGTGGCTCAGTCCAAGACACTTGGGGGGACTGAAAGGGATGGGGGGCTGCCCAGGCGGCCACATCAGAGTATCAAGGAGGAAGGACACACGGCTGTGAGTGTGCCTCCTTGCCATCGGTGAAGATTTTAAATGGCGCTGTGTGTGTGAAACTCTCAGGGGAAGTCATGTAAAATTGCCTCATCACGGAGGATGCTCGTAACTGGACTGAAATATCTCAGGGCATCAAGGGATCACGGTCCCCTTCTCAGGCTTTGGTATACAGGGTGGGGTGTGGGATTCTAGCACAGTGCACCTGTAGGCATGTCAAAGCTGAAGGTGACTCTCAATAGGAAAGGACAGTAGCTGCTGTTGGAGTCTAGGATACCCGGTGATCGCTGACCTTTGAGATCCACCTTAGAGTTCCGCTTATGGGGGGAGAGGAGAGAGAAAGCCAAGCCGTGACAATAATTACTGACTTCTGAAATTTGAGGCCCATTTGTTCCCAGGCTCTGTTGTTAATGGGTTATTTATCAAGTGTACTTTCTAATTAAATATACAGGAATACATACTCATTAAAGCATGAGCTGAGAACAAATGAGTATCAAATTAATTTCCAGTTCAATAACTTGAAATATTGCTTTTAGGAAGCAGGGGAAGCGGGGTTTAGTGTTCATAAACCATTGCTTGAAGTCAACAGCCCTACTCATCTTAGTTGTCACCAGAGTTCACAACTTATTTCTCAATTTACTTGAGTTAGACAGCTCCCAAGCCCCTTGCTCACTCCCGACAGGGATTAATCTCTTCGACTGCAAACCACAGTTCCCAGATTCTCCCAGACAATTCCAATTTCCTGAAATCTAGTTTTTTTCAACATGACTCACCACATGTAAATGAACATGATTTCATTTTGATGATGCTATGAGTCACCGTCTGGATAATTCCGTGACTCAAAAACACAGTTGGCCCCTCATGTATCATATTATTGGTTGAGAAACTGGATTGTGGAAGTGGCAGAGATTATATTCTGACCGTTGGTAAGTTGACTCCTAAGGCAGGGATCAGACGTAAAGGGATCTTTACAGGTAGTACCATGATCAGAGACCAGCAAAACTCACTCGTGTCTACAGGCCAGTGTGTACCTGTGCCTGAGGTCAGGTGGTCCTTATGTAATGATGCTCACATGCAGGAACCAATCAGATCTTTAGGGATCACGAACACTGGTCCCTATGTAACGAAGATCACATGCAGGAACCAATCAGATCTTCTGGGCTCATGAACACTTGGTCCAGAGATTCTGATGTGCCACACAGCAGGGAACATGACAAGCAGCCAGTGTCCAGAGAAGATCTGTGTCCAACCCAGGGAACCCTGAATCTGTGTTACCACAGTGGCCCTTGCTGGGTATCTGTGGCTCCTGGTCTCTGTACAGTCTTTCTCAGACCTCAACCCTTTCTTCTCTTTGATTGCCTTCAAAGCATCAAACCGCACAACCTCCCGAACCTAAAGATGGTTCTGAACGAAACCATGCCCTCCCAGGACCATGCCTTTGATTCGTTCTGCTGACCCAATGCATTCTATTTCTCCCAACAAAACCTCGTGTGGAAGAGAGTCCTGGACATGCACAACCACAAAATTACATCTCTCTCTTCACAAAAGCTCTAACTGTGCATTTTATATACTTATTATTTAACTGAATGCCTTTCCCCACTCCAGTAAAATACCGTTTTCCTTCTGTTTAATACTATCAATCAAACCTAATGGTGGGTAACAGGGAACTGGAGTAACAACTCTTGAACCTGAAAATTGGTAGCCTTCAACTCGGTGCCTTGCGGGAAGTCAAATCAAACTTCCTTGCTGCCCCTCTGCCCGTGGACTAGAAAGACAGGGGTTGTATATGCTGAAGTGGTAACGAAAGTGGCTCAACCGTGCAATTTAAAAGGGCTTCTAGTAGACAGAGTCTGTGAGGGCATGCTGAGGGGATGGTGTTTCCAATGTGCTTCCAAAGGCCTGGGCCACCCCTGCCACAGGCAACATGGTGACCCCCTCTGATTCAATGCTTGAAGGCAGGATGTTTATAGCTGGAAGGAGGCTTGGGGCCATCTAAGGCTAGTCTTACTTTTCTGGCTAATTTCTTGCCCAAAAGATGTGGAAACTGAGGTCATGATGGTTAAGCTGCCATTACTGGTCACGGAGGTGGTGGATGGCAGGGCAGGAACTCAAACCCAAGCCTCTCCATTCCAGGCAGGCTTCCCACTATGCCTCACTGCTGGACATATGCCCTGCCCCCTCACAGGCCTCTACTTTTGAGAAGAAAGCTTCCCCCTACAATGGAAATGTGCACTCTACACTTTGTGGCAGGGGCTCACCATGAC